TAGAAAATCAGCAATAATGTAAAATACTAGATTCACACTATCAGCAGACTTGACCTCATCGACACTTCTAGAACATTCCACTGAGCAACCATAGAACACATTTAAATACACATATAACGATTATTAACACAGCCCACTTTTTGGGCCATAAATGAACCTCAACAAATTTAAAAGGACCCAAAGGATACAGAGTGTGCTCTCTGATGATGGATTTAAATGAATAATCAAAACCAGAAAGATCTTCAGAAAATCCCCAAATATCTGGAAACAAAAGAAAACACTTCTAAGTCCATGAGTCAAAAAAGGAATCAAAAGGTAAGTTAGAAAGTGTTTCAAACTTAGTGAATTTCATTACAAAATCCTGAGATATAGCTAAAGCAGGACTTGGAGGAAAATTTATAGCACCAAAATGCCTGTACTAGAGAAGAAGAAAAGTCTCAAACCAGTGAGCTCAACTTTCACTGTAAGAAACAACAACAACAACAAAAAAATTGAAGAGGAAATTAAACCCATGTAAGCAAAAGATCAGAATGGATGTCAATTGGGAAAGAAAACAGAAAAAAAAAAAAAAAGAAATCAATGCAACTAAAAATGGGTTCTTTGAAAATGTCAATAAAATTGATAAACTTCTATCCTGACTGACTGATGAGTAAAAGAAAAGAAAGCTGATGCAAACTACCCGTATCAGGAATGGATTGACATCACTTCATACTCTGTATTGAAAAGATAACTAGGGAGCATTATGAGTAGCTTTATGCTGATCAATTAATTCAGATGAAACAGACAATTCCTCGAGAGAGATGAAGTACCAACATTCGGTCAAGGAAAAAAAAAAATAACCTCAGCAGCTCTATCTCTATTAAATAATTCAATAGCATACAAAAATGGTGATACATCATAGCCAAGTGGGATTTATTCCAAGGGCATAAGGTTAACTTAACACTTGACACTTGAAAATCTGTTAATATAATCTTCCATATAAACATACCAATTTTAAAAAAAGGTTCTCAATGGGTGAAGAAAAGACATTTATTTGACAACGTCCAAAACGCTTCCTGATAAAAACGCTCAGCAAACTAGAAATAGAAGGTATCAACCTTAAAAATAGCCAGTTATTTTACTGGCAAAATGAGTTTATTCAGGAAGCGCAGAGGAATTGCAATTTGGAATACAGCAAACTACAGTGAGCCACATGCAAGTCCGAAGAGACAAAGGAAAGGTCAGCTTTTATTAGGTTGCAGGAGGAACTTGGGGAGGGTTGTGTTGAACAGGAGTTTATTGGAGAAGAACAAGAGTTCGAGGTTGTGACATTTCCTGATTGGCAGGAAGTGGTGGTAGGTGTGTTGTTGCTGGGGCAGGGAGGGATCTTCCTTCCTTTTCTTAAAAGGAGATTAAATTCCTATCGGAAAAATATCCTCCCTCACAAGATAATTATCTTCCTTCTTCCTGCTGGTGATGCAGGCTTCAAGGAGCGATACATGTGTGAAAGTACCCCTTCGGTACATCCTGACTCCATTTTCAAGAGGTTTCCTCTATTTTCACAAAGGAAACTTCCTCTAATTGATATGAACAGCTTCAAAAGATCTACCACCAACGTTATTCCTAACAGACTGACTGCTTTCCCCCTAAGATCAGGATGGACAAAGATATCTGCTCTCAGTCCTCCTATTCAGTACTGAACTAGAGGCTCTAGCCAAAGCAATTAGGCACAGATTGAAGTAAAAGGCACGCAGACTGGAAAGAAAGAATACTCTTTTTATTTACAGATAACATGATTGTATATGTAGAAAATCCTAAGATATGTATGAAAAAGTTAATGGAACTAACAAGTGATTTTAGCAAAGTTAAGTTTGGTATACAAAAATCACTTTTATTTCTGTATACTATCATTTAACAAACAGAAATTAGAATAAAGATACCATTTACAATAACATAAAACTATCAGAAATAAGTATGACAAGAGATGTGCAAGATACGTAAACCAAAAACTACAAAACACAACTGAAAGAAACAAAAGAAGTTCTAAATAAATGAGAAGATATACCATGTTCATGGACTGAAAAACTCAATATTGTCAAGATATTAATTCTCTCAAACTGATCTATGGATTCAGTGGAATCCCAAACAAAACGCAATAGGTTTTTTTGGTGGAAGTTGGTAAGTTGGTTCTAAAATTCATGAGGGAGTGCAAAAGATCTGGATGACCAAAAGAATATGAAGGAACAAAGCTGGGAGATTTACACTACCTGATTCAAGAATCATTATAAAGGGGCGCCTGGGTGGCTCAGTTGGTTAAGCGTCCAACTTCATGTGTTTGAGCCCAGCATTGGGCTCTGTGCTGACAGCTTGGAGCCTGGAGCCTGCTTTGGATTATGTGTCTAACCTGTCTCTCTGTCCCTCCCCTGCTTGTGCCCTGTCTCTATCTCTCTCAAAAATAAACATTAAAAAAAAGAACTGTTATAAAGCCACAGCAATAAAGACAGCTTGGACAATTGGCATAAAAATAGGCAAACAGACCAATGGAATGCAGAGAGCACGGAAGGAGACTCACACACATCTAGGACCACTGATACTCAACAGAGGGTCACAGGCACCTCAGCTGAGAAGGGACGGTTACTTCAACAAACAGCCCTGGAAACTGAATATCCACACGCAGAAAAAAACAGACTTGAATTATATCTCACGCCATGTACCCAAACTAACCCAAGATGGGTAAGAGACATACGTGGGCACATACAGCATGGCACATTCATATTACGTGCTCCTACAAAGGAATAACCATCGACTGCTGCAGTACCAGGAGTGCAGAGAGAAATGAGCTAGACTCCGCCTATACAAGTTCCAGCAAGCGCGAGCTCATGGACTGGGCTCAGCAGGTACTTGCCTGGGGAGGGGGCTGGAGGGAAAGGGGAAACTCTGGGCTATTTACTGCATTATTCGTGGTGATGGCTTCACGCGTGCATGCAGGTGTCAAACACAGCGAATGCAAATACGTGTGTCGTTACGCCACAATAAAGATGCTTTTGAAACCCTGGAGAGGGCTCTGATCCAGCTTAAACGCTAGACCCCACCCCCACATTCCCTCGCCAGGACCTGGGAGGGTGGGGGCTGGGGCAGGACCCAGCCGGGCGGAGACCCAACCTCACTAACTAGCCTCGGGGGCCGCGGGCAGCGGACCTGCGGGAAAAAGCACCGCTTTTTCGGTCTCCGCCCGACACCCACCGCCCCCAGCCTCAGAGCCGGGCGGCAGGGCAGGGACTGGGTCTGCGGCCCTACGGCCCGCCCTCAGCCCCGCCCACAGCCTCCGAGACCCCGCCCCACCTCCGGTCTAACGGTGCCACCTCCCCCCAACAGACCCCAGACTCCGCCCAGGCCCCGCC